TTTTTTTTTATTAAAGCAACTATAGTTCATTTTTTAACTTCCTATTGGTATGTATGATATATTAAATACATATAAAAATGTTTTAATAATTATATAACTAATATTTTATTTATTATTGAATGTAAAACGCGCAAGTAAAACAAATTTGTACTCGATGTTATAAATTGCATCACTATTTTTCTAGAACTTGGTAAACTAAAACCTGTATTTATTTAAAGCTAGAAACAAAATAATCTACTTAAAATTTATCCTTCTCTTAAATCAAATACCATAATATAATACATATTTGTATTATATATCTTTATCTATTTTCTAAAGTTATTTCTTTATTAGTTAATATGTCAATGAAAATTGTTTTAAAGTAATAATTTTTAATGTCTACCCATCTTAATTATTAAAAAAAAATTAACTTTTAGATTAATTATCTTAATATGGAATCATTCTTGAAAACTGGAAAACTTAACCAAGATTTACAGACTTCTAATTTATTAGAAAAACCCAAACATGGATCTAAAGTTCTTGATAGCACTACACCTTGGGTTGAGAAATATCGTCCCCGTACAGTGGATGAAGTATCTGAACAATCTGAAATTGTAGCTGTCTTAAAGCAATGTTTAGAAGAAGGAGCTGATATGCCTCATCTGTTATTTTACGGGCCACCTGGTACTGGTAAAACTAGTACCATTATAGCTGCTGCTCGTCAATTATTTGGAGATATGTATAAAGAACGTATGTTAGAATTGAATGCTTCTGATGATAGAGGAATTCAAGTAATTCGTGATAAAGTTAAAACTTTTGCCCAACTAACTGCATCTGACAAAAGACCAGATGGTAAACCATGTCCACCTTTTAAAATAATTGTATTAGATGAAGCAGATTCTATGACTGCACCAGCTCAGGCAGCTCTAAGGCGTACTATTGAAAGAGAAACAAAAACTACTAGATTTTGCTTGATTTGCAATTATGTTAGCTGCATAATAGATCCATTAACATCTCGTTGTTCAAAATTTAGATTTAAGCCATTGTCACATGACATTATGCTTA